GGCTATGTGCTTGGGGGGGGGGGGTTGGGGCTCTAGACCGGAGTCCTGTAGGTCTCTAAACCTAGTGATTCACCGTTTGTCCTTGGCCCCCTAATAGTATTAGTCCTCACGAACAAATTCATTTGTCTATTTTGGTCAAAGGGCTGCTCTTGGCTCGAGTAACAAATTGCCCTCTCGATGTTCAGAGCAGCAAGAGATCAGTATGACTGCTGTACGAGGAGGCTTCCTGGAAGAGGTGGGACCTTCATTGAGCGAAGGATGGGTGTGGAATCCCTGGTTTGCCTTCCAGGGCTTCTTAACCTGGGGTCATGAATTTGTGTGTCTTAAAATATTTTGCTAACCATATTTCAATGTAATTGTTTTTCTTTGTAATCCTATGTACTTCATTTTATGTATTTAAAAACGTTATTCTGATAAATGGTCCAAAGGCTTCTCCAGGCTGTCAAAGGAGGTACTTGATAGAAAAAAAAGGGTTAAGAGCCCATGCTTTAATCAAGCAATCAATGAACAGGAAGCATTTATAAGTATTTATTAAGCAAAAACCCTTCCACGTGTTCAACGGTGTGGGTGTAGGGAGGACGAGACAGAAAAAGACAGAGTTCTTGCCTTTAAGTGAGAGATTTTACATCCTGATGGGAAAACTATTTTGTATATTAAATTGGTATATATAAGATATATAGAGTAGATGGAAAGTAGCCTTAGAGGAGAAGGCACTAGCATCTGGGGAGAATTACCAGCTTCTACAAGAAACCCTTCCTGACTCCCCTCCTCCCACCAGTTGCTTTTGCCCTCCCTCTCAAAACTACTTTGCATTCATTTTATATGTATTCTATATATTCTTATTCATTACATGCTGTCTCCCCCACTAGAATGTATGTGCCTTGAGGGAATGGAAGAGTGAAACTCTTTGTATACCATGTGCCTGGCACATAGTAGAAGCTTAGTAAATGATTGTTACAAGGCAAGAGATAAGAGTCCTGGATCTAGAGTCAGAAAGATCTAAATTCAAATCCAACCTCGCACACTTACTGGGCCAAGACATTTAACTGCTATCTGCCTCAGTTTCCTCAATTATAAATTTTAATAATTTATATTAATAATAGTATAATAATATATAATATAAAATAATAGGATAATAATAGTAGCTACTTCCACGGGTTCTTGTGAGGATAAAATGAGATCATATTTGCAAAGCATTTAGTACAGTGCGTGATACATAGCAGGTGACAATAATAATAAAAATTATGGCTGACACACAATTGGCACTTGGGGGCCGCTAGGTGGTGCAACGGATAGAGTGCTGAGCCTGGAGTCAGGAAGACTCATCTTCCTGAGTTCAAATCTGGCAAAAGACACTTATTAGCTGTGCTACCCTGGGCAAGTTACTTAACACTGCTTGCCCCAGTTCTTCATCTGTAAAATGAGCTAGAGAAGGAAATGGCAAACTATGCCAGTATCTTTACCAAAAAAACCAAACAAACCCACTACCAAAAACAACAAATGGAATGACAAAGAATGAGACGTGACTGAACAACCGATTTGGCATTTTTAGGCTTACAATATGATTCATATATATACTTTCATTTAATAGAGCAGGATGTAGATAAATGGGAGAAGTAAGTGACTTTTAAGGTAGCCTAGACATCACGATGACAAGTATGAAGGTATGAATAAACATGCTGTTTCTAGGGTGGCAGACCTCACTGCAGCTATGCTTTATCATTCAGTTTTCCTCTCCTCTTCCTTAGGAAGTTTCTCTTCCTCAACTCACTGGGCTCTGTAAAAGCAAGTGCGCCCTCCTTCAGGATATATTCCCAGATTTCCCTATTTCTCTCTCTTATGGCCTTTGCACTTATAGGTGGCACAGTGGATAAAGTGTTCAGTTGCAGTCAACAAGACCTCAGTTCAAATCCAGCCTCAGACATTTACCAGCTGTGTGACCCTAGGAAAGTTTCTTAACCTCTGTCTGTCTGCCTCAGTTTCTTCACCTATAAAATGGGGATGATAATAGCATCTACTTCTCAGGGTTGCTGTGAGGATCAAAGAAGATGATATTTATAAAGTGCTTTGTAAACCTTAAAAAGCCTGTTTTCTTAGAGCACTTATTGATTCAGTAAACATTAATTAAAAACCTACTATGTACCAGTGTGCCAAGTGGTGGGAATACAAAATGGGACAAAAGACAGTCCCTGCCCTCAGGGAGTTTACAATCTCTTGTCATTACCTTACTAGGTTTTAACTTTTAACTAGGTCAAATCAAAGTCAACAAGAATTTTATTAGGCTCTTATTTTGTGCCAGTTATGCCAAACATTGGAGATACAAATACAAGCAGAAAGATAGACAATCCCTGCCCTCCAGGAGCCAACACTCTAAGGAGGGAGAGAGGACACCTGAAAAGGAGCTGATAATCAGGCTGGGCCCTTGTCTCATTCACCTTTGATTCTTTAGCACTTCAGCAGTTAGTAGGGCTTGAAGGCAGCATGGATTCAATACATGTTTGTTGAATTGAGGTGGGTCCCTTTTGCTCCTAAGGAGACACACAGCTGAGGACAATGTAAATCATTTGCTACAGAGACCTGGCTTAAATTGTAGGGAAATCTTGGCAAAATGGATCCTCTTGGATCTCCACTACTTGTGTCATCACTTAACAAGAAATGTTGTCCTTGGTTTCCTTAAATACCAGCCCCCAAGGGGAGCAAGATTGACTAAACAGTTAGGTGATTTCTTTGGAGTTCTCAAATCCTTAACCACAACCTCCTCACAACATTTACTTTTCAATTTTCAAGTTATTCCTGGTTATCTAGTTATTTTTAGTTCACAACAGGGCTCCTGCCTTCATCAGATCTAGGAAATGGAACCACTTTAGGGCCACCCCACCGTTACCCAGGCCTTTCTGGTAAAGTAACTGAGTTTTCCTTCTGGGCAGAGAAAGAATCCTTTCAGATGGAGAAGAATCTAAGATTATCAAGAAATACCCTCTCATTTTTATAGATGAAGAAATGGAGTAAGGTTCAGGAAGGGAAAGAACTTGTCCAAGGTCACTTAGCTATCACAGAGCTTCAGAGCTGGAAGGGACTCCAGCAGCTATCTAACCCAACTCATACCTGAATAAAATACCCTTTCTACAGCATACCTGAAAAATGCTTCTCTAGAATTTTCTTGAAGACCTTCACTGTGGGTGAATCTACCACCTACTGAGGCAACTCATTGCACTTCCAATTAGCTTTAATTGTTAGGAAGTTTTTTCCTAACATTGTACACTTCCTTTTTTTTTCTTTTCCTTTTCCTTTCTTTCTTTCTTTTTTTTTATAACTTTCAATTGTTCCCAGTTCTGTCCTCTGGAACCAAACAATCACTCAATCAACAAACATTTGTTAAGCACCTACTGTGTGCCAGGCACTGACCAAGGCCCTTGGGATGCAAAGTCAAAAGTGTATTCATCTCTGTGGCTTACATCATAAAATGCACACAAAATAAATATAAAGTAAAATGAAAGGGTGGTGGGGAGGGCAGTAGCAGCTGGGAGAATCGGGGAAGGTTTCACTCTGCAAGGTATCAGCTGAGTAGAGTTTTGAAGGAAACAAGAGGTTTTCAGAGGAGAAAATGAAGCAGGAGTACATTCCAGATTAGGAGGGTGCTCAGCACAGAAATCAGAGAGGGAATGTCATGTGTGAGAAACAGCTAGTTTGACTGAATTCTAACGTATGGGGAGGAGAAGAGTGTATAACACAATTGGAGGGTAGGGGCTAGGTTGTGAAGGGATTTAAAAACTAAACATAGGAGCTTATAGTTAATCACGGCAGCAAGCGGGAGCCATTGTAATTTGTTGAGGAGAGGAATGACATGGCCAGACTTGCATTTTAGGAAAATCACTTTGGCAGCTTATGTGGAGAATGGATTGGAAGGGGGAAAGAAGAGAGAGTTTGAAGACAGAGAGACCAGGTAGGGCGGCACAGGAATATATAGGCAAGAGATGACAAGGGTCTGAAGTAGCATGGTGGTTGTATGAATAAAAAGAAGGGCATGGATGTGAGAAATATTGTGGAGGTAGAAATGATAAAAAGTTAACAAGTGATTAGATATGTGGGGTAAGAAAGAATGAGGAATCAAAGATAGTGCCAAGGTTATGAACCTAAAGGAACATTCTCCATAAGAGCCTTCTCAATGCCTGAAGATGGTGGATCATGACCTTCCAAGTCTTCTTCTCCAGGTTAGTTCATTCAAAAAATGAAACAAAAACAAATTCAAAAATGAAACAAAAAGAGAACTCCGATGTGGAATGGCTTTTTATCATCCCACTTGCCCCCTCCAATAGGCAGTTGGCAATGTGGGAATAGAGTTCAGGAAAGAGATTTTGGCTGGAAATCTTAGTAATCTGCATAAAGGTCATAACTGAACCCACAAGAACTTGTTAGATCACCTAGAGCTGATGGAGAGAGACAAGTCTACAACAGAGCCTTAGGGCTACCCAGGATTAAGATAAATATAGGGGTCCCTAGTTTCCTTTCTTCCCAACATCCTTCCTAAAATAGGGTGCCAAAAACAGAACACAATGCCACAGATGTGGTAAAAACAGGGCAGAGTTCTTTGAGACTATCATGACCTTATTCTTGGATGGTATGCCTCTCAACGCAGCTGAGTGATCATAGATCATTTTGATACAGCACTAAGCACAGATCCCTGGGGCCCTCCACTGGAGACCTCCTTCCAAATGGGCATCAAACCAGCAATTAAGCCAGTTCCCAACCCACCGAGTTGTGCTATGGTCTAGCCCATATTTCTTCACCTTTTGCCCAAGACTAACACAAAAGATTTTTACCAAATGCTTTGCCAAAGTCTAGATCAGTAATATCTACAGCATTCCTCTGAACTACCAAGTTAGTAACCTTACCAAAATGAGAAATTAGTCATCCTGTCACATCCTACTCTTGGTAAAGCCTTGATGGCTCTTTGTGTTCACTAACAATCTCTTTATTAATCCATTCGGGAATTTTGTCACAAATGCCGTTAGCAGATTCCACCCTATTCCTTTTTTTAAAGAAATTGGGCCATTTGCCTTTCACCAAGGCTTTAGTCCGGCTCCCATTCTTCTCTGTCTTTCAGATATCACTGGCAGTGATATCACATTTTTCCAGTTCTTTCAGAATCAGAAGATGTGATTCAGCTGGGCTAGGTGACCTGAGCTCATCAATAGTAGCTGGGTACCCTATTATTGAGGGAGAGGAAGGAAATAAGCATTTATTAAGTACCTACTATTTGCCAGGAACTGTGCTAAGTGCTCTTCAGATATTATCTTATTTGATCCTCACAACCCTGGAAGGTGGGTGCTGTTATTAGCCCCATTTTGCAGACAGAGGTTAAGTGACTTGCCCATGGTCACACAGCTAGTAAATGTCTGAAGCCAAATTTGAACTCTGGTCTTCCTGACTCCAGTCCCAGAATTCTACCAACTGTGCCAACCAGCTGCCACTGTTAATCTCCTTATTTAATTTGAGCATCACCTTTCTATTTGCCACTTTGGTTCTGTCCTTTCCAGTTCAAAGATCATTCTGCTTGGAAGAGAAAGAAGCCAAATTAGAACTAAGTAGGTTTGCCACCCCACCCTGAGCCAAAGTCCTATCCTTTCCTGGATCATCTTCTTTTCCTCACTGTACTTTTTTTTTGGGGGGGGGGGGCAAGGCAATTGGGGTTAAGTGACTTGCCCAGAGTCACACAGCTAGTAAGTGTTGTGTGTATAAGGTCACATTTGAACTCAAGTCCTCTATCCACTGCACCACCTAGCTGCCCCATCACTGTAGTTTTAAGACACTTATTTTTGTTACTTTCAATTTCTCTCACCAGCCCCAGCTCATTCTGAGTTTTAGCAATCCTGACATTGTTTTTAGACTACCACATACATTGTGCTTTTGTACCTCCCTCTTTTACCCGATGTTGAGTCTGTCTTCCGTATGTGGTGGGTTTTTTTTTTTAAATTGAAGTGATTAGCCTATACAAAGGTACGAGGCAGAAGGACTAAGTTGAAAGAATAGCAACAGGCCACTTTAACTAGAAGGGAGTGAATGTGAAGTGAAAAACGTGAAATAAGCCTGGAAGGATAGTCTGAGGCACTGAAGGTAAATCAGGAAGGACTTTAAAGGCCAAGCTGAGGGGTTTGTATTTTATTCTAGAAACAAAGGGGAGTCTTTAAAGGTTCTTGAGCAGTGGAATGACAGGATCAGGCACACTTTAGGAAGATTATCTGGCCAGCTTAAGTGTAGAGGGTGGATTGGAGAGGCAAGAGACCAGAAGCTGCTGGGGCCAGGGGAAGGGGCCACTAAGAAGCTGTTGCAATAGTCCAGGTTTTGAAGAGAGGTGAAAAAGACCTGGAAGGACGGTGAGCATGTGAGTGGAAAGAAGGTGAGAGATGAGAGGGAAGTTGTGAAGGTAGAATGGGCAGAACAAGAAAACTGATTGAATGTGGTGAGGGAGGGGGAGAGGGTTAGAGAGAGGATAGTTGAGGATGATGCTGAGGTTATAAATCTGGGTGATTGAACAGGAGTAAGGGAGTTAAGAGGAGAAGGAGGAAGAAGAAGAAGAGGAGGTTAAGAGAGAAATAGAATTAGTTCTGTTTTGAAAATGTTTAAAATGTCCATAGAACATCCAGCTGAAGATTTTCAACAGGCAGTTAGTTGGTGATGTAAACCTGGGGTTTAGGACAGAGATTAGGGAAGTTTTATTTTGTTTTGGGTAGGAGCAGATATGAATTTTGTTCTGGACCAAAGAGCAGAGGGCAAGTAGTACTGCCAGTTTTTTGACACAATTGAAAACCCCTTCTTCTCCCTAAACCTGTAGTTTCATCGATGGAGGGAACTTCCAGCATAGAAATGCCATCCACAGATGCAGATCAGCCCTTCCTGTGTAACATAGCTAAGAGAATTGCCCGAGTGGCTGAAAAACTGAAATGATTTCTCCAAGATGACGAAGCTAGTATACATCAGGCAGGATAGTTCTTCTATCCACTACACCATGCTGTCGCTAAAGTTAAAAGGATAATAATAATAATATCTGACATTTATATAACATTTTAAAGTTTGCAAAGCACTTTATATGGATACAATGGATAGAACATGGGACTTGGAGTCAGGAAAGCCTGAGTTTGAATCCAGTCTCAGGCATTTATTGGCTCTGTGATCCTGAGCAAGTCACTTAACCTCTGTCTGCCTCAGTTTCCTCATCTGTAAAATGGGGATAATAATAGCATCTGCCTTACAGGATTATTGTGAGGCTCAAATGAGATAATATATGTAAAGCACTTTGCAAGCCTTAAAGGGCTATCTAAATGTTAGCTCTTATTATTGTCATCATCATTTCATTTGAGCCTCATGACAACCCTATGATACTGCAGATATTATCATCCCCATTTTACAGACTAGGAAACTGAGGCCCAGGAAGATTAAATTAATTGTGTATGGTCCCACACATTGTTAGTGGGTATCAGATCGAAATGAACCCTAAGTTTTCCTGACTTGAGTGTAGCATTCTATCTACTAAACCATGCTGCTGTATAGAAATCCATGAGCTTAACAGGCATGGAGGAAGGGGAGAGAGAAGATGTGTATAAATTAAAGAGCATTTGGAAACCAAAAACACAGCAGCAACATCATCGTAGAAGTAAATTACAGATTATTTGGAGACTTCACGAAATCATAAAATTGGAAACTGGGAAAGATGTTAGCAATAACTTCATCCATTTTAATCATTTTATAAATGCAGAACCCCAGACCCAGAAAGGTTAAGTGATTTGTCCTAGATATAGTTGATACTTTTTTCCAGTTATAAGATCGGAAGTTATAATGAGAAACTTCAGTTACACAAACATCTGCTGGTGTTCTCATCCTACTGATGGCAGAGCATGAGACAAATTCTTGTCTCATCTCACCTTGCTTTGCCTGTGGTCTCATCACTCATAAAGCAGTGAGATCAGTATAAGAATTACTTGAACTCAGGCCAACATGAAGAACTCGTTGGTGATATAAAAGTGAAAGAAGAACTTTGGGAGGGAGTGACCATGTCATCTTGGAGTTCATTACAGCAAAGGAAGGGGATGCTGGGTAGGGTTAGACTTGGACTTTCATTCACTCCACTCCACGCAGAATCTCAGAGCTAAAGACCCTCCAGGCCAATCTATGCTTGAAAAATAGAATTCCCCTCTACCTCATCCCTGTCAAGTAACTATCCAGCCCTTGTTTGAAGATCTGTAGTGAAGGGAAGTCTCCCAAGGAAGTCCATTGCACTTTTTGATTATTCTAATTAATCGGAAATTTTTCCTGATCACCAAGTCTAAATTTGTTGTATCGTTCAAGTTGTTATTCAGTCATGTTGAACTCTTTGTGACCCCATTTTGGGGTTTTCTTTGCAGAGATACTGGAGTGGTTTGCCATTTCCTTCTCCAGCTCATTTTACAAATGAGGAACTGAGGTAAACAGGGTTAAATGACTTGCCCAGGGTCACACAGCTAGTAAATATCTGAAGCCAGATTTGAACTCAGGAAGATGAGTCTTCCTGACTCCAGGCCAGGTACTCTATCCACTGTGCCACCTAATTGCCTAAGTCTAAACTGACCTCTTAACAACTTCCATCCTTGCTCCGGAGCCAAACAGAACAAGTTTATTTACCTTTCTATATAATAGCCCTTCAGATACTGGAAAATAGCCACCAGGCACCGTCTTGAGTCATCTCTTCCCCAGGCTAAACACTCAATTCCTCCAACCAGTCCTCATATGGCATATTCTCCAATCCTATCACCAGTATGATCACCTTCTTCTGGAAATGCTCCAGTATGTCTATGTCATTAGCAAAATGTGGCATTCGGATGTGAATACAGTGATCTAGACATCTCCTGACAAGGAAGGGATATGGTAGAATTATCAGCTCACTAGTAGTGAGCTGTTTCTCTTTTAGTGTAATTTAGGGAAGTAGTAGATCTCTTGGCTGCCATATCACAGTGTCAGCTCATAGTGAGTCAACTAAATCCCCCAGATATTTGTCATGCAAACCGTTGCCTAGCCACATTTCCTTCATCCTTTTAGTTTTGATTTTTTGAATCCAGCCATAGAACATCAAATGTAGCACTTTGTATTTAATCAGTCCATTGTTCTAGACCAAAGGTTCTTAATCTGGGGTCCATTAATTTTTTTAATGTGATAATTGTGTTTAAAAAAATAATGGTTTAATTTGTAATCCTGTGGATTTTATTTTATGCATTTAACATTACTCTGGGAAATGGTCCATAGGCTTCACCAGACCACCAAAAGGATCCATGACTCAAAAAAAAGCTAAGAGCTCCTGTTTCAAAACCCTGATCTTTTGGACTTTATCACATAAGAACCCTCCAAGTGTTGTGTAATTTGCAGTTTGACAATTATTCCATCTATGTTTTCATCCAAGGCAATGATCATAATGTTGGAAAAAGCATATAAAAAGCATATATCCTTGAGATACTTCACTAGAGTCCTTCCAAGTTGACATTGACCCATTAATGACAATACTTTGACATGGTTTGATCAACCAATTCCAAATTCATCTAACTATATTATCACCTGGCCTATATCCCTCCTTCTTATCAATAAGTATGCCCCAAGAAGCTTTGTTAAATGCTTGGCTGAAATCTAAGTGTACTATATTTATAATATTCTCTTGATTATACTAGTCTAATAACCCAGTTAAAAAAGAAAATACTATTTGGACATGACCTGTCCTTGGCAAAGCCATACCCGTTTTCAGAAATGACTAATGCCTTTGCAACTACTCACAAGACAACCCATAAATAATGTGTTCTATAATTTTGCCAGAAAGAGAAGTAACATTCATTGGTCTAAAGGTTATGGAAGACTCAGCCCTCTTCCCTTTTTTGAAAATTGGGGAAACATTTGTACTTCCTTAGTTCAACAACACTTCTCTCATTCTTCAAAATCTTTCAGTAACCAACAATAGTGGTTCAGCAATCTTATATGCCCATTCCTTAAGTACTGTAGGCTACAGTTTGTACAGGCTATGTGACTTGAATTCATTGAGGGTGAATAGATGCTATCTATATTCTGACTCACATTATGTTTCCACTGCCTGCTAACCATTTTTGTTCTAGTCTTCCCATTATTCATGGTTCTTGTTGGAAGAGAAGCAAAATGAGCTGAGCGCCTCATCCTTCTTTTTATAGCTCATCGTCAT